GCATAGAATGTGAGGAGGGATGCTTATGCTTGCTGAATTGGCTGCACTGGGTTGTCAATGGCAATTTATTTAGTGGCCAATACATTAAACAGATATTCATTTGGTGGACTAAAACATTGAAAACTCCGAAATTAGCAGAGGATGGTTTCGATCCATCGACCGCTGGGTTATGGGCCCAGCACGCTTCCGCTGCGCCACTCTGCTTTGTAGTACTAAATATTTGACTCAAATTGCCAAACCCAGGCTCGATTCACCTCAAAATTGAGAGTGAAAAACGATTGTTGGCTAACACTGGTTGCGGATCTCTAAAATGGGCACTGAATTTGAGCCAAAATCCTCATGTTTGCTGAGGTGGCTAGACCTGGATGTCAAATTGCAATTGACTTTGTGGTATAAAACACACATCTAGCAGAGGATGGTTTCGATCCATCGACCTCTGGGTTATGGGCCCAGCACGCTTCCGCTGCGCCACTCTGCTTTAAATCACCCCAGACGGGACTCGAACCCACAATCCCTGGCTTAGGAGGACAGTGCCTTATCCATTAGGCCACTGGGGCTGACGTTTTGCGAATAAATTGATTTCAGTTCAAAAGGTTTACTAAGGTTAATCCCAACCAGATGTTGGCATTGTTTGAAACAGAAAAAGGTGGGTTTCAAAAGAGTGGATATGGATCTGTACCATAATTTTTAATGTGCATAGAATGTGAGGAGGGATGCTTATGCTTGCTGAATTGGCTGCACTGGGTTGTCAATGGCAATTTATTTAGTGGCCAATACATTAAACAGATATTCATTTGGTGGACTAAAACATTGAAAACTCCGAAATTAGCAGAGGATGGTTTCGATCCATCGACCTCTGGGTTATGGGCCCAGCACGCTTCCGCTGCGCCACTCTGCTTTGGAGGACTGAGTATTCGACTCAAATTGGCAAACCCAGGCTCGATTCACCTCATAATTTAGAGCGCAAAACCATTGTTGGCTAACACTGGTTGCGGATCTCTAAAATGGGCGCTGAATTTCAGGCAAAATCCACATGTTTGCAGAGGACGCTAACACAGGAGGTTAAATTTCATCTTGCAGGGGATGGTTTCAATCCATCGACCTCTGGGTCCATCACGCATCCGCAGCCCGACTCTGCTTTAAATCACCCCAGATGGGTCTCGAACGCACAATCCCTGGCCTAGGAGGCCAGTGCCTTATCCATTAGTCCACTGGGGCAGATATGGTGCAAAGAAATTGATTTCAGTTCAAAAGGTTTACTAAGGTTAATCCCAACCAGATGTTGGCATTGTTTGAAACAGAAAAAGGTGGGTTTCAAAAGAGTGGATATGGATATGTACCAAAATTTTTAATGTGCATAGAATGTGAGGAGGCTTATGCTTGCTGAATTGGCTGCACTGGGATGTCAATGGCAATTTATTTAGTGGCCAATACATTGAACAGATATTCATTTGGTGGACTAAAACATTGAAAACTCCGAAATTAGCAGAGGATGGTTTCAATCCATCGACCGCTGGGTTATGGGCCCAGCACGCTTCCGCTGCGCCACTCTGCTTTGTAGTACTAACTATTTGACTCAAATTGCCAAACCCAGGCTCGATTCACCTCAAAATTGAGAGTGAAAAACGATTGTTGGCTAACACTGGTTGCGGATCTCTAAAATGGGCACGGAATTTGAGCCAAAATCCTCATGTTTGCTGAGGTGGCTAGACCTGGATGTCAAATTGCAATTGACTTTGTGGTATAAAACACACATCTAGCAGAGGATGGTTTCGATCCATCGACCTCTGGGTTATGGGCCCAGCACGCTTCCGCTGCGCCTCTCTGTTTTAAATCACCTCAGACGGGACTCGAACCCACAATCCCTGGCTTAGGAGGCCAGTGCCTTATCCATTAGGCCACTGGGGCTGACGTGTTGCTAATAAATTGATTTCAGTTCAAAAGGTTTACTAAGGTTAATCCCAACCAGATGTTGGCATTGTTTGAAACAGAAAAAGGTGGGTTTCAAAAGAGTGGATATGGATCTGTACCATAATTTTTAATGTGCATAGAATGTGAGGAGGGATGCTTATGCTTGCTGAATTGGCTGCACTGGGTTGTCAATGGCAATTTATTTAGTGGCCAATACATTAAACAGATATTCATTTGGTGGACTAAAACATTGAAAACTCCGAAATTAGCAGAGGATGGTTTCGATCCATCGACCTCTGGGTTATGGGCCCAGCACGCTTCCGCTGCGCCACTCTGCTTTGGAGCACTGAGTATTTGACTCAAATTGGCAAACCCAGGCTCGATTCACCTCATAATTTAGAGCGCAAAACCATTGTTGGCTAACACTGGTTGCGGATCTCTAAAATGGGCACTGAATTTCAGGCAAAATCCACATGTTTACAGAGGACGCTAGCACAGGAGGTCAAATTGCAACTTACAGGGGATGGTTTCGATTCATCGTCCTCTGGGTCCATCACGCATCCGCTGCCCCACTATGCTTTTAATCACCCTAGACGGGTTTCGAACGCACAATCCCTGGCCTTGAAGGTCAGTGCCTTATCCATTAGTCCACCGGGGCAGATATGTTGCAAAGAAATTGCTTTCAGTTCAAAAGGTTTACTAAGGTTAATCCCAACCAGCTGTTGGCATTGTTTGAAACAGAAAAAGGTGGGTTTTCTTTAAGAGTGGATATGGATCTGTACCATAATTTTTAATGTGCATAGAATGTGAGGAGGGATGCTTATGCTTGCTGAATTGGCTGCACTGGGTTGTCAATGGCAATTTATTTAGTGGCCAATACATTGAACAGATATTCATTTGGTGGACTAAAACATTGAAAACTCCGAAATTAGCAGAGGATGGTTTCGATCCATCGACCTCTGGGTTATGGGCCCAGCACGCTTCCGCTGCGCCACTCTGCTTTGGAGCACTGAGTATTTGACTCAAATTGCCAAACCCAGGCTCGATTCACCTCATAATTGAGAGCGCAAAACCATTGTTGGCTAACACTGGTTGCGGATCTCTAAAATGGGCACTGAATTTCAGGCAAAATCCACATGTTTGCAGAGGACGCTAGCACAGGAGGTCAAATTGCATCTTGCAGGGGATGGTTTCGATCCAGCGCCTCTGGGTTTTGGGCCCAGCACGCTTCCGCTGCGCCACTCTGCTTTGTAGTACTGAGTATTTGACTCAAATTGCCAAACCCAGGCTCGATTCACCTCATAATTGAGAGCGCAAAACCATTGTTGGCTAACACTGGTTGCGGATCTCTAAAATGGGCACTGAATTTCAGGCAAAATCCACATGTTTGCAGAGGACGCTAGCACAGGAGGTCAAATTGCATCTTGCAGGGGATGGTTTCGATCCAGCGCCTCTGGGTTTTGGGCCCAGCACGCTTCCGCTGCGCCACTCTGCTTTGTAGTACTGAGTATTTGACTCAAATTGCCAAACCCAGGCTCGATTCACCTCATAATTGAGAGCGCAAAACCATTGTTGGCTAACACTGGTTGCGGATCTCTAAAATGGGCACTGAATTTCAGGCAAAATACACATGTTTGCAGAGGACGCTAACACAGGAGGTTAAATTTCATCTTGCAGGGGATGGTTTCAATCCATCGCCCTCTGGGTGCATCACGCATCCGCAGCCCGACTCTGCTTTAAATCACCCCAGATGGGTCTCGAACGCACAATCCCTGGCCTAGGAGGCCAGTGCCTTATCCATTAGTCCACTGGGGCAGATATGGTGCAAAGAAATTGATTTCAGTTCAAAAGGTTTACTAAGGTTAATCCCAACCAGATGTTGGCATTGTTTGAAACAGAAAAAGGTGGGTTTCAAAAGAGTGGATATGGATATGTACCAAAATTTTTAATGTGCATAGAATGTGAGGAGGCTTATGCTTGCTGAATTGGCTGCACTGGGATGTCAATGGCAATTTATTTAGTGGCCAATACATTGAACAGATATTCATTTGGTGGACTAAAACATTGAAAACTCCAAAATTAGCAGAGGATGGTTTCGATCCATCGACCGCTGGGTTATGGGCCCAGCACGCTTCCGCTGCGCCACTCTGCTTTGTAGTACTAACTATTTGACTCAAATTGCCAAACCCAGGCTCGATTCACCTCAAAATTGAGAGTGAAAAACGATTGTTGGCTAACACTGTTTGCGGATCTCTAAAATGGGCACTGAATTTGAGCCAAAATCCTCATGTTTGCTGAGGTGGCTAGACCTGGATGTCAAATTGCAATTGACTTTGTGGTATAAAACACACATCTAGCAGAGGATGGTTTCGATCCATCGACCTCTGGGTTATGGGCCCAGCACGCTTCCGCTGCGCCACTCTGCTTTAAATCACCCCAGACGGGACTCGAACCCACAATCCCTGGCTTAGGAGGCCAGTGCCTTATCCTTTAGGCCACTGGGGCTGACGTTTTGCGAATAAATTGATTTCAGTTCAAAAGGTTTACTAAGGTTAATCCCAACCAGATGTTGGCATTGTTTGAAACAGAAAAAGGTGGGTTTCAAAAGAGTGGATATGGATCTGTACCATAATTTTTAATGTGCATAGAATGTGAGGAGGGATGCTTATGCTTGCTGAATTGGCTGCACTGGGTTGTCAATGGCAATTTATTTAGTGGCCAATACATTAAACAGATATTCATTTGGTGGACTAAAACATTGAAAACTCAGAAATTAGCAGAGGATGGTTTCGATCCATCGACCTCTGGGTTATGGGCCCAGCACGCTTCCGCTGCGCCACTCTGCTTTGGAGCACTGAGTATTTGACTCAAATTGGCAAACCCAGGCTCGATTCACCTCATAATTTAGAGCGCAAAACCATTGTTGGCTAACACTGGTTGCGGATCTCTAAAATGGGCACTGAATTTCAGGCAAAATCCACATGTTTACAGAGGACGCTAGCACAGGAGGTCAAATTGCAACTTACAGGGGATGGTTTCGATTCATCGTCCTCTGGGTCCATCACGCATCCGCTGCCCCACTATGCTTTTAAGCACCCCAGACGGGTTTCGAACGCACAATCCCTGGCCTTGGAGGCCAGTGCCTTATCCATTAGTCCACCGGGGCAGATATGTTGCAAAGAAATTGCTTTCAGTTCAAAAGGTTTACTAAGGTTAATCCCAACCAGCTGTTGGCATTGTTTGAAACAGAAAAAGGTGGGTTTTCTTTAAGAGTGGATATGGATCTGTACCATAATTTTTAATGTGCATAGAATGTGAGGAGGGATGCTTATGCTTGCTGAATTGGCTGCACTGGGTTGTCAATGGCAATTTATTTAGTGGCCAATACATTGAACAGATATTCATTTGGTGGACTAAAACATTGAAAACTCAGAAATTAGCAGAGGATGGTTTCGATCCATCGACCTCTGGGTTATGGCCCAGCACGCTTCCGCTGCGCCACTCTGCTTTGGAGCACTGAGTATTTGACTCAAATTGCCAAACCCAGGCTCGATTCACCTCATAATTGAGAGCGCAAAACCATTGTTGGCTAACACTGGTTGCGGATCTCTAAAATGGGCACTGAATTTCAGGCAAAATCCACATGTTTGCAGAGGACGCTAGCACAGGAGGTCAAATTGCATCTTGCAGGGGATGGTTTCGATCCAGCGCCTCTGGGTTTTGGGCCCAGCACGCTTCCGCTGCGCCACTCTGCTTTGTAGTACTGAGTATTTGACTCAAATTGCCAAACCCAGGCTCGATTCACCTCATAATTGAGAGCGCAAAACCATTGTTGGCTAACACTGGTTGCGGATCTCTAAAATGGGCACTGAATTTCAGGCAAAATCCACATGTTTGCAGAGGACGCTAACACAGGAGGTTAAATTTCATCGTGCAGGGGATGGTTTCAATCCATCGACCTCTGGGTCCATCACGCATCCGCAGCCCGACTCTGCTTTAAATCACCCCAGATGGGTCTCGAACGCACAATCCCTGGCCTAGGAGGCCAGTGCCTTATCCATTAGTCCACTGGGGCAGATATGGTGCAAAGAAATTGATTTCAGTTCAAAAGGTTTACTAAGGTTAATCCCAACCAGATGTTGGCATTGTTTGAAACAGAAAAAGGTGGGTTTCAAAAGAGTGGATATGGATCTGTACCATAATTTTTAATGTGCATAGAATGTGAGGAGGGATGCTTATGCTTGCTGAATTGGCTGCACTGGGTTGTCAATGGCAATTTATTTAGTGGCCAATACATTAAACAGATATTCATTTGGTGGACTAAAACATTGAAAACTCAGAAATTAGCAGAGGATGGTTTCGATCCATCGACCTCTGGGTTATGGGCCCAGCACGCTTCCGCTGCGCCACTCTGCTTTGTAGCACTGAGTATTTGACTCAAATTGCCAAACCCAGGCTCGATTCACCTCATAATTGAGAGCACAAAGCCATTGTTGGCTAACACTGGTTGCGGATCTCTAAAATGGGCACTGAATTTCAGGCAAAATCCACATGTTTGCAGAGGACGCTAGCACAGGAGGTCAAATTGCATCTTGCAGGGGATGGTTTCGATCCAGCGCCTCTGGGTTTTGGGCCCAGCACGCTTCCGCTGCGCCACTCTGCTTTGTAGTACTGAGTATTTGACTCAAATTGCCAAACCCAGGCTCGATTCACCTCATAATTGAGAGCGCAAAACCATTGTTGGCTAACACTGGTTGCGGATCTCTAAAATGGGCACTGAATTTCAGGCAAAATCCACATGTTTGCAGAGGACGCTAGCACAGGAGGTCAAATTGCATCTTGCAGGGGATGGTTTCGATCCAGCGCCTCTGGGTTTTGGGCCCAGCACGCTTCCGCTGCGCCACTCTGCTTTCTAGTACTGAGTATTTGACTCAAATTGCCAAACCCAGGCTCGATTCACCTCATAATTGAGAGCGCAAAACCATTGTTGGCTAACACTGGTTGCGGATCTCTAAAATGGGCACTGAATTTCAGGCAAAATCCACATGTTTGCAGAGGACGCTAACACAGGAGGTTAAATTTCATCTTGCAGGGGATGGTTTCAATCCATCGACCTCTGGGTCCATCACGCATCCGCAGCCCGACTCTGCTTTAAATCACCCCAGATGGGTCTCGAACGCACAATCCCTGGCCTAGGAGGCCAGTGCCTTATCCATTAGTCCACTGGGGCAGATATGGTGCAAAGAAATTGATTTCAGTTCAAAAGGTTTACTAAGGTTAATCCCAACCAGATGTTGGCATTGTTTGAAACAGAAAAAGGTGGGATTCAAAAGAGTGGATATGGATATGTACCAAAATTTTTAATGTGCATAGAATGTGAGGAGGCTTATGCTTGCTGAATTGGCTGCACTGGGATGTCAATGGCAATTTATTTAGTGGCCAATACATTGAACAGATATTCATTTGGTGGACTAAAACATTGAAAACTCCAAAATTAGCAGAGGATGGTTTCGATCCATCGACCGCTGGGTTATGGGCCCAGCACGCTTCCGCTGCGCCACTTTGCTTTGTAGTACTAACTATTTGACTCAAATTGCCAAACCCAGGCTCGATTCACCTCAAAATTGAGAGTGAAAAACGATTGTTGGCTAACACTGGTTGCGGATCTCTAAAATGGGCACTGAATTTGAGCCAAAATCCTCATGTTTGCTGAGGTGGCTAGACCTGGATGTCAAATTGCAATTGACTTTGTGGTATAAAACACACATCTAGCAGAGGATGGTTTCGATCCATCGACCTCTGGGTTATGGGCCCAGCACACTTCCGCTGCGCCACTCCGCTTTAAATCACCCCAGACGGGACTCGAACCCACAATCCCTGGTTTAGGAGGCCAGTGCCTTATCCATTAGGCCACTGGGGCTGACGTGTTGCGAATAAATTGATTTCAGTTCAAAAGGTTTACTAAGGTTAATCCCAACCAGATGTTGGCATTGTTTGAAACAGAAAAAGGTGGGTTTCAAAAGAGTGGATATGGATCTGTACCATAATTTTTAATGTGCATAGAATGTGAGGAGGGATGCTTATGCTTGCTGAATTGGCTGCACTGGGTTGTCAATGGCAATTTATTTAGTGGCCAATACATTAAACAGATATTCATTTGGTGGACTAAAATATTGAAAACTCCGAAATTAGCAGAGGATGGTTTCGATCCATCGACCTCTGGGTTATGGGCCCAGCACGCTTCCGCTGCGCCACTCTGCTTTGGAGCACTGAGTATTTGACTCAAATTGCCAAACCCAGGCTCGATTCACCTCATAATTGAGAGCGCAAAACCATTGTTGGCTAACACTGGTTGCGGATCTCTAAAATGGGCACTGAATTTCAGGCAAAATCCACATGTTTGCAGAGGACGCTAGCACAGGAGGTCAAATTGCATCTTGCAGGGGATGGTTTCGATCCAGCGCCTCTGGGTTTTGGGCCCAGCACGCTTCCGCTGCGCCACTCTGCTTTGTAGTACTGAGTATTTGACTCAAATTGCCAAACCCAGGCTCGATTCAACTCATAATTGAGAGCGCAAAACCATTGTTGGCTAACACTGGTTGCGGATCTCTAAAATGGGCACTGAATTTCAGGCAAAATCCACATGTTTGCAGAGGACGCTAACACAGGAGGTTAAATTTCATCTTGCAGGGGATGGTTTCAATCCATCGACCTCTGGGTCCATCACGCATCCGCTGCCCGACTCTGCTTTAAATCACCCCAGATGGGTCTCGAACGCACAATCCCTGGCCTAGGAGGCCAGTGCCTTATCCATTAGTCCACTGGGGCAGATATGGTGCAAAGAAATTGATTTCAGTTCAAAAGGTTTACTAAGGTTAATCCCAACCAGATGTTGGCATTGTTTGAAACAGAAAAAGGTGGGTTTCAAAAGAGTGGATATGGATATGTACCAACATTTTTAATGTGCATAGAATGTGAGGAGGGATGCTTATGCTTGCTGAATTGGCTGCACTGGGTTGTCAATGGCAATTTATTTAGTGGCCAATACATTAAACAGATATTCATTTGGTGGACTAAAACATTGAAAACTCCGAAATTAGCAGAGGATGGTTTCGATCCATCGACCTCTGGGTTATGGGCCCAGCACGCTTCCGCTGCGCCACTCTGCTTTGGAGCACTGAGTATTTGACTCAAATTGGCAAACCCAGGCTCGATTCACCTCATAATTTAGAGCGCAAAACCATTGTTGGCTAACACTGGTTGCGGATCTCTAAAATGGGCACTGAATTTCAGGCAAAATCCACATGTTTACAGAGGACGCTAGCACAGGAGGTCAAATTGCAACTTACAGGGGATGGTTTCGATTCATCGTCCTCTGGGTCCATCACGCATCCGCTGCCCCACTATGCTTTTAATCACCCCAGACGGGTTTCGAACGCACAATCCCTGGCCTTGGAGGCCAGTGCCTTATCCATTAGTCCACCGGGGCAGATATGTTGCAAAGAAATTGCTTTCAGTTCAAAAGGTTTACTAAGGTTAATCCCAACCAGCTGTTGGCATTGTTTGAAACAGAAAAAGGTGGGTTTTCTTTAAGAGTGGATATGGATCTGTACCATAATTTTTAATGTGCATAGAATGTGAGGAGGGATGCTTATGCTTGCTGAATTGGCTGCACTGGGTTGTCAATGGCAATTTATTTAGTGGCCAATACATTGAACAGATATTCATTTGGTGGACTAAAACATTGAAAACTCAGAAATTAGCAGAGGATGGTTTCGATCCATCGACCTCTGGGTTATGGGCCCAGCACGCTTCCGCTGCGCCACTCTGCTTTGGAGCACTGAGTATTTGACTCAAATTGCCAAACCCAGGCTCGATTCACCTCATAATTGAGAGCGCAAAACCATTGTTGGCTAACACTGGTTGCGGATCTCTAAAATGGGCACTGAATTTCAGGCAAAATCCACATGTTTGCAGAGGACGCTAGCACAGGAGGTCAAATTGCATCTTGCAGGGGATGGTTTCGATCCAGCGCCTCTGGGTTTTGGGCCCAGCACGCTTCCGCTGCGCCACTCTGCTTTGTAGTACTGAGTATTTGACTCAAATTGCCAAACCCAGGCTCGATTCACCTCATAATTGAGAGCGCAAAACCATTGTTGGCTAACA